CAACGATCTGGTCTTTGGGGTCTCGGAAAGGTTGCTCCGAAATTGGTTTGAACCCACCGCGCAAAACGGTTCACATTGAGCTCTTCTGTTTGTTACAGCCGAGTTCCCTCTACTTCTGCCGGGAAAAAGCTGCGTCCCTAGACGGCTGTCACAGGCTAACCCTTTGCTTTGGGTTGCAGGTGTATCGTTCCTAAGCTGTATATATTTGCCAGTGTCCCTCAAAAACGCTTTTACTGGGAGCGATGGAGCTGCAGAGTCCAAGGAACAAAGCCATGTCACCAGCAGTCTGACTTTAGGCTGAACCATTTCTCTGTAAAGAGGCTGGGGAAAAAAATCTTACCTCGTTTGTGCTCACACAGGTACACTGGTGGACATGGAGTTCCTTAGTTGGATATAAAACGATTGATGTATTTTCATCACTTTGCAGCTTACTATCTCGATTTTCACCGCAACCTTACTTCATGATTTTTCAATATACTTTTTTTTCTTTTTTCTTTTTTTTTTCTGATGGGCACTTGACAAGTATATTTAATTTCCATGAACTCTCTAATATCAAATATCCCCTATGGAGGACACGACTGTAGACAGTAATACTAATGCTGTGATTGAAACTGTTTTGAACTGATTGAATTTACAAGTTCTACCGGAAGATAAACACCTAAAGGCACACATTCGCTATTTGGATTCTGATCTTCTAAGGATAGTTGTCAAGATTTTTAAGGGGTGCTTTCGTAGAGGCGTAAACATTATTGCATCTGTAAAGTGTAACAGTTTGCTCAATTAGGTGTACCTCTGCGAGCACTCAATAAAATTCTATTAAATAGCTGAGACATTAATGTTCCCATTTCCTTCTTTAATGTTCCTCTGGAACCCCTTTGCATTTTTCCTGCTGTCAGGTGCAGAGGAGGTGGCATTCCTATTGGGAAGTAACTGGATAACAGCTATTTTTCTTCCTTCTTTTTGGAATGTCTCTTTGAGAACCAGCATTAAAACTTAGTATTAACTGTATCAGTAAATTTCGTTTAGCCCGTTCTTTTAAATTTAAAGACGAAGTAGTGTCTTTTAACTATATTCCTTTATAAATAAGTAAATATGAAAGAGGTATGGTAAATATTAATGGGCAGCCACAATCAGGCCTAAGTGACTAACAGAAATTTGACGGGCCACTAGAAAATACAGTCCTTAGACCTCCCCTTCAAATTAGTAAGGATGTTTAAGTAGTGACTACTGGCCTTAGATACTCATAGGCATGTTCTTTTATATGCAAATTAGTCCTGTGCAATAAATCAAATTGCAGAATTTGGCTCTTAATTCATCTTCAATTTCAAAAATCAGAATATTCAAGCATGGCGTTGTATCAGACTGCATCTTTGAGATGACTGATCCACAAAGAAGGGGCAGCTGTTGGCAACATGTTATTATTTCTAGTCTTTGAAATGTTATCTGGATACATAAAGATCCAGAGTACTTGTTACATGCCACAGAAACAGGCAGCATAAAAATTCTTTGTGCTTGATGCTCTGATAGAGCTGGCTGCAGCGATGCAAAGGACTTTGGTGTTTCTGGTTAAACGGCCTAAAATGAGTTGGTAGTTTGTACCACAGCATTAAAAAGATACTACAGCACTGAAGAGATTTACTTCAGTGAGGATGTTTGTAACTGAAAACTTGCAACTTCGTGCACTGGATCGAGCCACCGAAATATTTCAGCCTCTATCCAGCGGCCTGTGCCTGAGTGGTGCTCCTCGGTTCACTGCAACTGTTCGGCATGAAAAATCGCCACTGTGTGCTTGTAAGCAAGGTTCTGGAGCCCACAGGTAGGCACATCGTGAAAGATAAAAGACTTGGAATGTCACTATCTTGACATAAGCAACAACTCTAAAAGGTTTGGGTTGTTGTTTTTTTTTCAATTCAAAAGCAGCTGCTAGATTGTCCAGGCTTAAATTCACACTCCTTTGTAGCAGAAGTTGGAACATGGCTTTTTATTGGCTTTTACTTTGTACCAGTGAACTGTGAATTAAAATGAAAACCAGTATGTTCGTACTCATAGGCTAATCAAGGCCTTCTGCACACTAAGAACATTGTGCCCGCTTAACTGGAGACCATTTAAAAGTGCTTTTCAGCTGGGTGTAGCACATTTTACAGCTTTGTTAGCAGTGAGTTCTCGTTATGTTTGAAACTGTAAAGCTGCTAAAGCTAATGCCCGCTGCTCTGGCTTCAGCATTGACAAGTTTTAAAAGTGGATGTTCTAAATCATCTTTACAGTTTGTAAGCCAGGGAACAAAGTCACTGTGAAATCCACTGACAGCGTGCCAAAATAACGTCAGAGGATATTGGTAAGGAGAGGGCTTTCTTGGGGGCGGTGAGGGGCGGAGGAGGAGTACTTTGAGTTACAAATCTATTAAACGTCATTTGAGTCCTTGACCAGGACAGATTTGCAAAGTTGATCTTGTAACAAGTGTGACTTGTGTTAACTTTTTGCAGAATTCCCCGGAAAATATTTTTGGCAGTAATACTGTGTACTGAAACCTGAGTGTATCCAGCTTTGTACTGATTTTTAGAAAAGTCCTGTTCTGTGCAGGTGGAAGTCCTGTGAAGCCAGGGAATACTTGTCCCAGCTCAGCTCAGTCTACATCTGGGATTTGTTATGAGAATCAAAGTAAATGGGGAAGGGGAGGCTTGGCCAGCATGCTTTTTTGACACCTTCCCTGTTACTGTCCACTATTAAAACCCACATGACAGAACTCAAATAATCACCAAAGTTAAGAATTTTTACTTTTCTTTTGATCTAGTAAAGTTACTGGTTGCTTCCCATTAGCCATCCTTGCAAATATCTACACTCAATATAGCATCGTGAAAGTGTTTACCTACATTTTATGTGCAATCTCGTCATAGAATCATAGCTTGGAAAAGAACTCTAAGATCATCAAATCCAACTGTCAAAAAATCTTCACTACAAGGTAGATTTTTTTAAAAAGCTCTTTAGCAAGCTGTTGGTATCCTATCTCACACTGTGAATCTTTTACGCAAAAACCTGGAAATTGGACTAGTATTCAGGTAGGAATTTTCTGAGGAACATGGATATGCTACAGGTAGTAATCCTGATAATTTGGTATGTAACGTATTTCCCTCTTTGTTTCATCTCAAGAACCCCTTACGGGTTC